GGGTCCACCTGTGGGCTAATGTTCAGTCCCCATCACCAGGGAGGTGCCTGAAGCCCAAGGCTGGGTCTGCCCTGGCTGCCTCCCGGCCTGCCCTGGTCCAGGCTGGGGGGGACAGGCCCTGGCTGCCATGTCCAGCCTTGCTAACCCTGGGAGATCCCACTGCCTCCAGCCCAGGTTGCTGCCATCACTCACAATTCCCTGACAGCTTCTTGCACTGTACCTCATAGTTCAACTATAATACAGACTTGTTACTGCTCACCATGGCCTGCTTTTATCTCTGTTGATGAGAACAAAACATTCTTAGGTGTAATACTAGCAGATGTGGCAAGAGTTGTCTACATGCTAGTTTGTCTGGAGCACCTGGCCACAGAGCAGCTTGGGAAGGGCTGGTCATCAGAAATGGGGTTCCCCATGTGTATTGAAGAAGACATTAGCCTTCAACAATGACTGTAGAAACTATATAATGACCTTTCTGTGTTAATATTAAGGCAAGAGGAGCCCTGTTTCCTAAAGGGGTGAAAAACTCCTGTGAGAGAAAGGGAAGTCTCTTTCTTAACCTAAGTGAAACATTTTCAGTATGAAAATTGCTTCACTAGAGCTTTGGGATTTAGCTCAGATCATCCTGAAGTTCTCAAAAATGTCAACCTTTGATAAATTCCAGGCCAGGAAAGTCCCAAACAAAGCCTGCTTTCCACAGTTTCTAGTTTTCCTATGAAGATCCTCCAACATTTCACTCGAGTATTTCTGGGGAGCAAAGAAGCTGGCTGGTTCACTAATACTCTGATCTACTTGTATCCTGTTACTGAGCATTCTGGGGAGAATAGTCCTTTTGTTTTAGGCTTTGCAAAAAGCCAGCATAACTTTGTCTACCCTTAAATGTACGTTTGACGGGGACCTCAGTGAAAGTGACCTGTAAGGAAACAGAAAAGTGTGTTTCAGTCTTTACAAAGGAAACATTTATAACAATTTATAGCTGAGACCGCCAAACGTGTTCTTGAGAGATGCACTAGAATTACATGTAGAGCCTTAAATACTTTAGGGAAAAGCGGGTTTAATCTCAGTGAAAGCTAGCGGTTTAAACGTGTGTGTGTGTATATATAACTATATAGAGATATATGTATGAATAAACAAACATTAAAACGCAAATGTTTCTTCTTTTCTCCTACTCCACGCAAATGAAGGTTGTCCCTAGACATTGACACTCCTGGCAATAGAGCAAAGTAGTAACAGAGGACAATCAGTATAGCTGCGCACTGCAGGACGTTCTAGCAAAGGACACAGTGTGGCTACACCCAGTAACAAAGGTCATCCTTTGTGAATATTTATAATTCCTGCACTGGACAGACAAAAAAATTTTACTCTGGTCTTTCAGTTAGTGGATTCACAGCTTGCCACATCCATTCTGTCCTTGCTGTATTAGCAGACATCTTTTGTATCCCGCTGAGTTGCCTGGCTGCTGCTGCTGGCTTGTTTTCATCTTCAGAAGACAGTAGTAACTGCAAAATATCCTTACAACGTCCTTTGAAGCAGACACCTCTATCCTTGCTTTACAGGAAGAAGCACGGGCAAAACTGAATGAATTAGTGAGGATTAAGTACTACTGGTTGATTCTTCAGTTCTGTATGTGCCAAATGGAAATAATGATACTTTCTTTTCTCCACTTCTTGTCCAATGTATTTAAACTTCGTGCTTTCTAGAGCAGCATTTGTCTCATTAGCTGTTTGCACAATACTTAATGCCACAGCATATCGCTTTTAGATAGAGCCCCAAGGCACTTCCAAACAGCTGCTAAGTTTACCTAAGGATACAAGCGTGTGTTGATAACATACAGAACCTGATTTATTCTACTTGCTGTCTATGCAAGCCAGTTTCCAAAGGGAAGCAGCATAGGTGTACAGAGCGACTAGCATTGCACAGAGTTAATTTCATCAAGTACAGCAACTCGCTAGCATTCGCATGGCTTCCAGGCTAATTTATGCTTTGGTTCATGGGCAGAGTGGGGGTATGTGTGTGTATGTGTGGCTTCATCTGCACAAGCTCATGCACTTATGCCAAAAGATAGGCGTGAAGATAAGTTTGTAGCTTTCATTTCAGGTTTGTAGTCTTCAAAAAGAAACAATAAACGCCATTAAAACAATAACAACCCTTCTGACCTAGTACACAGAGCTCATATACATTGATAGCATTATATTGGTGACAACACACTCCATATGCTCATGAAGGTTACAGGCTACATTTCCATGTAAACAGTCAAGACAGTGAACTTCAAATATTTGGAAGAAATGTTTATTTAACAACTGAATACATGCTAAAAGAAATAATTTACAGCAGCAGTTTCATTACATTTTTTCTCTCCAGTTTTCTAGTTCCCATCTGAATTGAAGTGATAAATACAGAAGTAGAATTATTTACTACTCAGTGAGGAATGCGTTTAAAGAACAAGCGCACAACTTTTGCACTGATATAGCAAATAAACCACCTTATCACCTGTGTGGCTAAATCTTGCAGTTTAGTATTATGCTGAACACACAGAAATGGAGTACCTCTAGATAACTACTTTACATTGTACCTCCTTATCTAGTCAAAAATATTTACATCTCTTTTGGCTAATGTGTAGGTAGCAAAAACTGAACTATTAAACACATACCATTGATATTCACTAAATAATACATAAAAAGGATCAGTAAATGCGCATTCACATGCATTTAATTTATTTTTTTACATACTGACTTTATTGGGTCATGAAGATTTAACTCTGTTCTGCAAAGATGCATATTTTCTGAGTTTGATGCTATAGCTTAACATAACCATACAGTTTTTAGGAGCTATTGAACAAATTCCTATCTTCAGTGATCCATGCAAGTGCGAAGTGTAAATGAGTAAGAATGAGATACAATGAATTTTTGTTCCTTGTAAACGGATATCTTAAACAAATGAAAATAGATCTTTCTGGTTATAAATGAAATCCTTTATTTCTGTCCAGCTTAAGCACAACTTTTTACTTAATTTTTCTAAAGTCTGTAACTAAAGGTTTAGAGGGTTTTATTGACAATTTACAGAAACACCGCTTTTACCTTTGTCTTCAAACCTTATGTTGCTTTAATCAATAATGACACCAATGAAGGTATGAATTTTACTGAAGCTGCAGGGCGTCTTTCTATACATGAAATCATTAAGGTCTATGTTCTTTGAAAAAAATTCATTTCACATGAGCATTAAATGCTGTTTTAACTTGACCATAATACGAACCTGAAAATCAAAAATTTCCGCTGCTAGCTTGACCTTCTGCCCTCTTACTGTATAAGCAAATAGAAAGACATAAGACTATTCATGTCAGTGATGACTGGATTGAAGTTTGCAAGACCTGATCACATCAATTGTCCAATTAGACTGCTGGGTTATGGTAAAAACATCGTAACTTCTGTAATTTTGTTCCCACAGATTATCTTTCTCTGTATAGAAAAACGTATCTTAGAATACTGACTTCATTTAACGTTTCTTCTTCAGGGGTGGTGAAAGAGGTTGGTTTTGGTCTGATTTTTTTGCAGCAAGTTGTTATAGAACCAGTTGCTATGAGTGTGGTAGAGAAAAAAGTTAGACAGCAATTTCATTAACACATAAACAAGGAAACAGCCATTTGGGGTCTGTTGAAATCAATCTGTATTTTTCCCACTGAATTTTCTGAGGTTTGTTTTGAAACTGTTTCCTTTTGTAACAAAGAGGATTCTAATGACTCGATGGTACACAATAGCTCAACACAAAAGGCTAAAGAGTGTTCCGTGATTACAATTAAATAATTCATCTGACAACAATGTTCAGAAATTAATCACAAGCTAAGAGGAAAAATTAATACTTCTGTACAGGAAAGCACATAATTGAACCTATGTTTAATTCATCCCTATCAGTGCATCATGAAAGCATGGGAATTTAACGACATATTACAGTTCACAGGAGTTATTAAACACAAGAGACTTAAAGTTGCTTTCAAACTAAATTCCCAAGTGCTTTCCTAAATCATGGTCTTACAGACTTGTCCTGGTCTATTCAATGAATTTTTTGCTAAAGATTTACATGACAAAAATTCTTGCAAGTTCATACCTTTAAAAGGATTCAAAGGGGACTAAAGTGACCGGGTCGTTAGTGAAAATCCAATTTCTATGGAGACAAGAAGCCAACGCTTCACTAATCAGAAGGATACTTGAATTAGTGAGTGGCAAGGAGACTGGGACATATCGTAAGAGATGCTGTCACAGCAGTTGCATTCTATTGTATCTGATAAGGCTGATAGTGGAGTGACTGAGAAACTAAATGGTCTGAAGTGAATAACAACAAAACAGATCAGTCATCGATACAGACATACTTTTATATAAAAGCTCTTTTAGCAAACTAAGGACATTGTTCTAGTAATTTTCCCCACAATGACATTACTTGAAATTATGTCATTTACGGAGTCTACCAAGGTAAAATACGGGAGGCTGGAGAAAGATGACCTCAAAAGAACTGGGCACCATAGAACTGGGGACCAAAGGCACATCTGTGCTGAGGTGAATAAATCCACTACTTACAACCCTAAACTGACACTTGTGGTGCAAGTACATTGTTGGTTTTACTCTGTTGCTCTCTTGTATATAGAAAAAGACAGAAGTGCAGGACCAAATTATCTGTTAATATAAACTAGTCTTAAACTGAACTTCACCAATTTACTACTGTAGCAGACTTTGCCCACAGATAAAACTGTCCCTTAGATCTTAAAACAGAGAGCTGTCTTTGAGGTTACTATTTACGTGGCCTAGTGCTGGATCTTTGCATTCAGGTGATCTGGCCCACAGAAAAAATGGAGCATTGAGAATCAGTAGTGTGGACATATTTCTACCACTGAGCTGGGAACAAAACTCCTTAAACTGAATGTGAGCTTTACCCATGGATATATGACAATCTAAGAGCCACAGTATTTAAATATTAGCATTCACAAATATTTACGAACCAAGAAAGCAAAAGTGTAATTAGTAAAGGGTATTTTAATGCTATTTACTTTTTTAGTTAAAAAAAATATACAACAGAAAATCAATGCTCTCCTTTTCATTGGTTGAATCTGTAGCAAAGTATTATACAAGTTGAATCATTTCAAATACCATAATTGGAAAAAAAAATGCAGAAGACTTCCATTCGATACAGCAACTTTCATGTTAAAATGGCTTAGTTTTAAAGTTGTTTTGAAGTTATATGTCATATAGATTACTGAGAGGGAGGAGGTTAACTGCAGTGTGACTAGCTCCCTTGGAAGATTTTCCAAACAACAGACTAAAGCAGTTCATAATTGGAAGTTGTCTTTTTCTTTCCTCTAAATCAATAATTAGAAAGTACAATGTTTCTAAGACAAGAAGTCTAATCTATTTTAGAAAAGAGCTAATGTTTACTGCATATTCTTCATGGTACATTTAAATTATAGTTTTAATAAAATACATCTTTAGATCAAAGCTGAAAGAAGTCATCAGTAGTAGGCCAGTGTACTCCATATTTTTTTGTTCTTCCAGATGATGGATGGCTTTTGTTGTTCAGATTTCCACAATATTATTCAGTATCATTTTTCCTCTTCTAGTCCATATAAACAGGAGAACTGGTAGACAAAACAAGAACAAAATCCTTGTGTCCAATCACGTGTCTAGACGTTCATCAGCTTAATGAGTTCATGCAGTTTCATATATAAGTCTAGAAATGGTAGTGCTGATGATGAAAGGTGGGGTTTGTTTTTCTTCTCTTGAAAATGACAGCATGAAATACAGCATTTTGTTCATATCTCAGGCAAAAGAGAAAGCAAAACTTGCCCACTGAACACTTGCAGAACTTTTTGAGCAGTAAGCTAGGTCCGGGTGAGTTATCATCCTTGAAACTCTGGTCTTTTCTGGTCTTAGAATCAGAGCAAAGAAGGACTTACTAGGAAAGTTAGAAATGGATTTTATTTAAACCTGGTGGAAACTGTTTGAACTTTCCACTCTTGTAAACATCCACATAATGCCATGAACAAGTTCATGAATATTGCATTTTTTTCCAGTTATCTGTCTATACAAGTTTCTACATGGATGAGGTTCCTAGAGGTAAAGTAGCTCAGACACTCCGTGGTGCCCTCTCAAATTCATGGGTCCTCCTGTTTCTACCTTTTTTATTCTCTTGTAGGTGCTTCCACTTATTTGTATTCACCTGCGCATTGGCAGGCCTTTGCCGGCGTTGTTTGCGGTCTCTTTTCCAAACCTGCTCACAGAACTCATCCATTGTGTTGAGATTGGGGTGATTGATTAACTGCATGAAGTCTCTATACCAGATCTTTTGACTGGGGGTCATGCTGTTGGTAGCGTCCTTGGTCTTGGAGGCATTGCCATCTTCTTCCTTATGGAGAAGCTCTTCCAGATGGTCAGTATCAATTACTTCCAGGGTCACTTTGAGCAAAGTTTGCATGAAGCCATGCTCCACAGCATGACAAAAATAAATACCAGAGTCTCTCCGTTGAAGGCTTCTTAGCAACAGGCCCTGTTCTGTCCGGATCATTCGATCATCCACTTTTATCTGTATTGGAAAAAAAGTAGTAATTTCAGTAGTTATCTTTCATATCTGTACAAAATTATCCTCTAACCATACTAGTTCCTTAGTACCGCTCCTATTAGCTGGTAAAACTTGGCCCCAAATCCCCAAAACCACATGAATAGAAAATCCCTGGACAGTCATCTGTAGTTACTGGAGCCTCAAATACTCTGGAGAAACTACTAATGTGCCACTAACAATTTACTCCTTAGTCGATACTGCTGCTGAACAAAGATGTGTACCAACTCTGTCAGATGGACTTGCTGGTAAGATTACAGAAGATGCAAGCCTATAGTTGCAGAGTTGACATCGATGCATTTGGCTATATGTCCAAGGTCACGTTTATCATTATCTTTTAGTCAAGCTGAGATATATACGTAGGAATGGTTCTTTGTATTCCTATTGTTCCTTACTAAGAATATCCTTATGCATAGAAGTGGGTTCTGCAGAAGTGGCGAATTTACAAAGAAACAATAAGGATTAAATATCAAAATTGTTATAGTCAAAAAGCAGCTGTCCAAAATACTGTATTTTTCTGAATTACTTAATAACTAGGAATATAATTTCATTCTTTGAATGCACATTTTGCTGTAGACAGAAAAGGCGAAAAACCTGTTTGCTGTTCTCTCCACCAAGAATAAATTCTAAATAATTTACTACTTGTGCAAATAAACAAACAGCACAAGTGTCTAAAGCTGCTAATGTAACTAAGTACTTAGTACCTGTTTTAAAAAAAATAAATGTTTCAGAGTAGTTTGGGTATATTTACGAATACTTCAATGCAACAAACAAGTTTTTGTTTCCTAGCTTGATCTCCCTACCTACCAGAGTAGTTTATTCTCTTAACACGTGTGACCTGCTTGAGAGCAACATGACGAGAACCAGGGTGAGTAATAATGTAAGAATGTTGGTGACAAGAGAAAGAGAAAAATAAAGTTTCAGCTTAGTGGAATGCAAGCAGTGAAAGCCAGTGATATTTGCTCTATGAATATTGCTTTTAATGAAAAAAATGTACAAGTTCTCATACCCTTATGTCCACTACAGTTTGCAGTTCCTCATTCTGTCTCTGTCTTACCTGCAGTAAAGTCTTAGAGCATCCAGTACACAGCAAGTTCTCCTGTTAGACTATGTTTCAGTCAAACAATATAGTTAGATGAATGCACTTACACTTTTTCTCAGAGGCAGTTTTAAGGTCTTTGTAATATTTAGGTTCATATAATCCTTGCATGATGCTTTAGGTGGCAGTTAGATGCATGCTAACTTTTTGTATTTCTGAGATAACTAACGGAAAACCAGTGTGTTTTGCAGGGGGTCTGACCAGGGAGAGCATATGAACATTTTCTGATGCAACAGTCTGAAAAACCTATCAGAACGCTTACCAGATTTTATGGTAGTAAGAATATGGTGAAGGACAACAGAAATTATAAGAATCCAGGGAAATTCTGATAAACTAAAATACAGATGGACATTAAACTGGGAAGGACTCAGGTTCAAGTGTATCTTCACAAGGAAGACTAATTGCATCTCTTTATTTTTTCTACTGTACCTCTTCTTTGCGGTCATCATTTTGCTTCTGGAATTGCCAGTAGACTACAGCACGCTGAGATTTTGGACTGCACTCAAGAAAAGTGCTGCTGTTCTCTACTCCATAGATAATCTTTTCCTCCAGAGTCTGACCACTTGGGTTATCTGTAGAACAAGAAAAAGAAAAGAAAAAAAGAATTAAAATTACCAGCAAAGAAGAATCTTACTTGCTAAATGAATTTTGTTTATTTAGAAATTGGGCTCCCTTCAGGGCATTAAAAATAAAAACATTAAAAGAAAAAAATTCCTCATATAAGTATGCCATCTGGAAAATCTCCATCAACATTTCTTTCTTTGTAAGGACCCTTGGTAGTTTTTTAAAAATTATTTTTATGTTTTAAATCCTAACAGCTGTTAACATGTCAATATGTGAAGTTAATGAATTTCATTGTGAGATTTTGTGTAAACCTCATTAATATTCATCAAGGAAAACATGTAGGACACAACAAGAATTTTTTAAAAGCAAACTGTATGCAGTGAGAAAACTCAGGGTGTAGTTGCAGAATGTCTGTAATGATGCCTCCTGGGCTCTATGATAATGTTTTAGAGCAAAGTAGTAAAACATGAGGCCATTTAAAAGTAGTATAATGTGTTTAGATTATATGGCACTGCAGTTTGCTGAAGCTGTTAATGACCAGGAACAATGTTTTTGAGGAAACAATCTTCAATTAATCATTTCCTCTCATACTGATATAATTTATGGAAATGTAATGAGGTTAATAAACCAGACATTATGGGAGGGGAAAAAGAAAGTTAAATAAATTACTTCCTTTTGTAACAACAATGTTCCAAGATATTCATCAACTTGCTGGAAATATCACATAGCTATAGGACTTATATGGCATTTGATTCTTCTCCAATACCGCAGAGGCTGTAAGGCATCATATTTCAGCTCTCCACCTTAGCTCTTTAAAATGCTGTTATGGACTTAAGTGGTAACCACATAATAATCCAGGAGACTAGATGGGGAGGAAGGGGTTGGTAAGCTGTGTAACACTGTGTTGATCTCATGGGGTTTCTTGTCTCTTTGCCATTATTTTTTCACTCTTTCCATTTTCAACTTTTGATCTTTAGCATTGGAAATCTTTAAGCAACTTCTTTTCTTATGTTTTAACAGGAAAATTACATCTAATTAAAATACTCTTAGAGAAATCATTTGTCAAGTTTTGTTTGCTTTCACTGTGCCTTTATGGTATTGGCTCTGTTGTTTAGCAAACAGGCTGTTTGCTAGATGACTGAGCCAAAGGTAAAAAGAAAATTGAGCTCCTGGTGTATGTTGATATAGCAATCACATCTCTTTCCATAATGACTTGCAGCCCTGAGAGAGGATGGGAGAAGGAACGGGGGACAGAGTAGGAACTGGTGCTTACCCAGTTCTCAGTAAGGAAAAATCAAATGGCATATTAATACTAGATAAATAGGGAATGGATTAGCTTGCTTTCCTCTGCTGTGAATCCTTCCAGCAAGTAAGTGGGGTGCTATATAAACAACTAAGTGAAACGACTTTTATGACATCTCTCAGAAACCACATCCGTATGAAGAATGTCACTGCAGCTTTGGGCCAGGAATATGGGGAGCAATGGAGGAATGAATTAGAAAGCAAAGCAGTAAGAGAAGGGTAAGACAGCTGGAAGAGAATGTAGCCAAGGGCATCAGTGATAAGGTCTGAGATGGAGCATGGGTGAATTTGTGTCAGTGAAACAGAGGAACTGGAAGTATGTGAAGAGATAACTGAATATAAGTAGAAGTGGTAAGATTAAGATTAGAAATGGAAATGATTGGCTGATAACTCATGGGTCCAGATTCAATATTGTGAATGGCTGACTGGTGCCCTGACTCTTCTTTTTCTAGTTAAGTACTCTAATTTAGGAACAGAATTCACATGGCTGAGCAGGCAGCCAAAGATCCTCCCACAGTCAACAAGAGTCAGTTTGATATCTGAACTGGGATCCACAACTGATAGCACATGAAAGGCTGCAGCATAAGACAGTCAGTAGGAAATGTCCCCTTTTGTAGACTGGAGCACATATGTTACTGCTCCAACAATGTGTTTCTGTGAAACAGAGATTTACAGGCTTTCAGAATAAAGGATGGAAACACACAGATTTCACCTTAGGATGCAACCTCTATTCGAATTCCTCTCTCCCAAACTCCACGAACTTTTAATCATGGTCTCATGATTAAGCATGGCCCAACTTCAACAAGAGCAATCTAATAGTTTGGGTGCTTGTATTGGAAGTAGAGCTATCAAGTCAATCTCCAAAGCCTATATGGACTTTGAGTCCTCTTCTCCCACATCCTAAATAGCTGATTTAACCAGCAGGTTACTGATTAGGTGGCTTGCAGCATCACTTGATTATCATTTGCTGAACACAGCATAGCCCAAGTGAATTATACAGAAGCAGAGAACATGTAACACTGGTCTCATTAGATCCAAGGAGACAGTCTTCTAGATCCTGAATATCAGTACAAAGGACAAAAATAGATATTTCTTTGGCAAAGATCCTAATGCCCATGAGCAGCAGCATGTTTTTAATTACACAGGGAATCTTCTGCTGGAAAACTTAGTTACCTAGGATATTCTTAGTATCTAAAAAACTAGTCACAAACTCTCATGGAAGTTACCTTGAAGGTGGGTACTCTGACTCCATTTCAAACTTCTGAGTGTTTTCTTGGATCTGGTCCATGGAATTCTAGTGTATTAGAGATCACCATGGAAAGTGGGAGAAGCACCCTTGAAATTTCCTCACAGCTCCAGAAAATATAATATGGGTGACAGTCATGCAATGAGAGAGGAAGTACTTAAGAGATCCTTTAAATTCCATTTCCATGATTTAGGCGAGCAGAATGCAGGTCCAGAAAATGTTTATGATGTTCATGTAATACTGAGCACGTGGAGTGCAAGAAGGAAAGCAGAGTGATGGAATAATCACAGGATAAGAGTGAAGCTCTGGAACTGAGGGAGAAGCCAAAGAGACTAGAAGGAAGAATGAAAGTCTTGGAAGATCAGAAGAGCAGCTGGAGGAATTAGAAAACTATAGAAGTCATGAAGTTGCTTCAACCCAAAATCCTGTCTGAGAGCTGTAATTCCCAAAATGAACCCAACAGCAGTATCAGTTTACTACCCTAACAAATAACCTTTAAATACATAATTTCTGACATAACTGAAGAAGTATGAAAGGTTAAGTACTTATACCAAGATTGCCTTGCAGATGAATGACTCTCACAATACAGTTAAATTCAGAGCGATTCTTTGAGCTTCTCCTGGGATAAATCACCTAAAAAAAGGTGCCTCTTCTTTAAAAAATTCTTCAGAAAAAGATTTTTATTAATTTCTTGATAGCACTAGTATGTTAGGCTGAAAAATATAATGGTTCTTTAGCTGACACAAAGGTGATAATGTTTTTAGATTTAAGCATTAATATCTGTCCAAATATCCGCACAGCTAAGGATCCTCAGCTCCCTCTAATGTTGCTGTGTAGTCATTTTACACAATTTCTTATACATTTGCACAAAAAGGCAACTGAAAGAGGTACCTAAAGCTTATTAAAAGCATAGTTGCTTCAGACTGATATCAAAGTAAGCTTCTGTACTGTCTTTAAAAGTGAGAGATACATTAAGTGATTAATCTTTTTTCTTGTTTCTGTTGGTTCACATGGAGAATCCACTGGCAGTTACTTGTAAACAAATAGTAAATGATAGCTGGAGATTATTTTTGGCTATAGACACCCAATTACTCATCTGTTGTCCAGGAAGCTGCTAGTCATAACCAAGGAAAAGACTCAGCATTAGTTGGCATAGGAAGTTTATGGGCCATGCAGCTGTTTGTACAATGCATGATCACGTGTAAATGACAAGTAAACACAGGAAAATTTTATAAATTTACAACTCAGAACTAATTTACAGAAAATTTTACTCAAGAACAATCTAAAACATCCATTAAGTATTTAGAGAGGGTGTTCTTAAAGTCTAGAACCTAGAATTGTATTCCTTCAGTATTTTTTGTAAGTTAGTGATTTTTCTAATCGCACTGTTTTCATTTCATTGCTAAGTGTAAGCATTATCAGATATCATGCAACTGGAAATTTGCGAACTTTCTACTAGTCCACTTCGACTAGTTCAAATCTAAACTAGTTGTACATTCACATGTTCTCAAAATGTAACAACTACATATCGATCATAGCCTATTCATGCAGTTATCCAAACCCTTTTCCCCTCTGAGTACCTTGGCCTGAGTCTGACAATCAAGAAGTAAAAAGAAAAAGTTAGGTGCGAGTTTCAAATTATTAAAACAAAGATAGAGAAAACGATCACTGAAACGTAGTGGTGGTGAATTATAGCTGACACTAAAGTACAGTTTTGGACTATTTGTCATTTTTGCTATTGCAAGGACTTGAAGGACATGAGGGTTTGAGGTATCTCCATTTTCAGTCACCTTTTCTTTATTTTTTCCAGAAATCTGTCCAGTGAGGATTTTTTATTATAGACGTACCACAAACACGAGTAATCATTTTTTTCCAGCAGAGGGAAGTATTGCCTAAGTGTTCTCTTCACGTACAGCAAAATGGACATTTTTCATTTTCTGAGTGAAGATCTTCTGAAGAGTTTGGCAACAAATTAGTAACTGTGAGAAGTTTATCAGCTAAACAATTCAAGATAGGAAGATCTGGTCAATACACTGTGAAAATAAAACAACCGACAAAAAACAAAACCAAAAGAGTCAAAGACAACCCATGCTGAAAGCGCACAGGGCAGGCCTACTGAAGGAACATCCGGATCTGCTAGTGTGGCACCTACAACAACGACCTTGTTTAGCCAAGGTAGTTAATTATGTGTTTGGTTATCATTCTATGCAAACTATATGAAGCAACATGTACATACTTCTTGCTGTTCTGAAGGAAATATGACTCTTTTCTGACATAATATGCCTAGACTGGCGGTATGGTATTATCAGGTAAGTGAAGCAGAAAAATTAAAATGCTTAAAAACTGTTAACTTGATGAAAAAAAACCCCAGTCTTTAGTGTCTGATCTGGGCCATTGTAAGCAATCTAAATTGGGATAATGATGTGTTATATTCATCTTTCACAGATGTTCAAGACAATTTCACCAACAAATTATTCATGTGCTTCCTACTCTACTCATGCACAGTCTGCAAATCACATATAAATTAGTTGCACTTCAGTCACACCCACAACTCACCATGATGCTGCAGGTCTGAGCAGTGGGTAAGCGGGTCTCCATTTCGGATGTCTTGTCGTCTAGTACGTCTGCAAATATCATGTTTGAAAACTGTTAGTGACCTTCTCAGTGCTCAGCAGTCATACTTGCCATGACTGAAGAGCAACAAATGGAACAGATATATAACTACATATGTCACAAGTGCAGCTAAACAGCACTGGGAAGGACATCATATTGTTGTCACTACCTTCTAAGCATTATCACAGTTTGTAGAATTAGCCATTGCTCTTACAGGAAAAGTCTTCAGAAACTGGCAAATATGTATCTCTTGCACTGAGCCTATGAAGTTTATTTTAACTGTGGTGGCAATATTGGTCACACACAAATTCATTACTTGGTTCACAGACACGGGGACTGCTAAAGGATCAAAATATACACAGTACAGTTTAACATGCATCAAAAAACATGAAGAAGGTACAGTTTTTCTGCAAGTACAGAATGCTTTAAGTATCATGGCATCTTTTAGATAAATGAAATGTTAGAAAGGACAACTTTGAGATAATGTCGAAGTGCTGTATTTTATGCAAAATCAAAATTAAAATACATAGATCATTTCAGCCAGTACACATCTCACAAAAACATTACTGATAAAACCTTTTCCAAAACTGTTGCAAATAGCTTTGTCTTTAGAATAGTCAGAATAAAACACTTGGATAGGAAGATTTTGAAAAGTCATTTCTTCCATCGTTTGCAGCTTCAGTCTGGGTTCTAGCTTTTACTGCATGTCCCTTCAACATACTATATTATTTCCCCAGTTTTATTTCCACTGGCTCTTTTGGAAAACATATTGATCTGCGCTAAAAATGTTGTATTTCACAGAAGAAAGCTTTTTAGTACACTTTTATTTTGCATTTGTTGCTTTTGTTGTTCCCTCTTTGTCTGCTCCTATTTTTATTTAAATAGCTGTGGCAGAAAATTCAACTGAGCCAGAGAAAAGGGTTCCATATAAAACAAAGCAAAAAGAACAAGGCAATCAAAGATGTGTTTCACGTGTGAGCACTTTACTTTAGGAATCAGAGAAAGCCTGAGGGCTTGCAAAATTAGAGGAGAACAAAGAGGATTGGGCTGCTGAACAATGCTGTGATTTCAGATTATGGCATCCAGCAACGGATATGCAAAAGTCAAGTAGCCTTGTAAAAAGCACTGTTGGTCACTCCCTTGTGACAACAGCCCACACTTTTAAGCAGCCATTGTTCTGCAGCACAGAAAGCATCTCTCGTCCCTTCGCTGGGCCTACTGGCAGGCTCTCACTAACAGCCCAGCATCAGCACACGCCGAGAGTCCTCACAGAGGCACCAGCAACTGCACAGCTGAGTCCTCTGGGCTGAGAGATTTTAACCGTTTCTTTTACACACTGAAAACTGCTGAAATGTTAAACCTGAAATCAGTTATATGAAGTATGGCAACATGTTTTTTTTTTGAAAAAACAAGTCAGAATGTGCATTTTTTTAATATTTTTTTGAACAAAATTTTCTTTAAAATTATAAATTAGAACATTTTAGTATGCTTTAGTAAGAAGGAATTTTCTGTTGATTGATACATGATTCAGAAAATGTACCAATCCTAATTTCAGATGTCATCTTCATATTACCCATTACCAACTAATAAAAATACACCCAAGACATAAGGAACCATAAAATTTTGTTACTCTTTTCTGAATTTTGAAAACCGGCATATTTATAGGATGCTATTTATAGAGAAGTCGTCTGTGGAAAGACTCATGTTACTGTCAATGGAGTTTGGATGAGATGTTTCGTTAGAATCTCAGGAAAATGTCGCACATATCGCCATTGTATCAACAAGATGATTTATGAAATATGAACCAGAACACATCTGCATGGGGTAAAGTTAAGTGGTCGCACTACACGAGCTCTGAACTGTCATTTAGACTTGTAAAATACATAAAGAAAAGTAAATTAAAATAATGGCTCATAAAAGCTCCTTTTTTAAAAAAAGAAGAAAACAAAACAAAACAAAACAAAACCCAAACCCTCAAACCAACTGTCAGTAAAGCATCTGTGTAATTGCCTCAGGACTCAACTTTCCCAATATTTCTGGAGTCCAAAATTACAAGGATTCATTATTAAGAAAATATTGACTTTTAAGCTGTTTCCAGCAATGATGTTTTTGTCATGCATGCTTTCAAAGTTGGCTTGAGGCAGTGGGTACAGCAGGTACCAGGTAAACAGAGGGATCCTCTTCCCCAGTAACACAGACCTTCATTCTGCTGCTGCTACTCCCAAGGGAAAAATGGGGGGAAGCAGAGGGCGACTGTTTTTTTCTGAATGCACAGTCAGAATCCCAGCCTCCCAGGACTTACTTTTTCTCCAATAGTGGCTTCAAGAAGAGTAAAATCTGCACCCCAAGGTTTTCCTGTAGCTGTTTAACCCAGGTTAGCCCCAGTAACCCTGTCCCTTAATCTCTGTAAGAAGAGGCCCCAGCCCCTTTACCCCTGATGGCAACCGTGAGCTCAGTCTGCTGTTTAATAAGTTAGAGAGACAGCTAAGGAAAAGACAGAAACCCCCATTTCTTCTATCACTGTAAGTAGATGATGACAGGATGATATGCTCTATGGGTCCTGAAATGGGCTGGGAGTAGGAATGGGTGCTAGTGAATGCTGAAAAAGGATGTAGTGCAGCGATGAAGTTAGGAGGGAGGTAGCAGAGAAGAGTGATTCAGTGATTCCTTCGATTTAGAGGCAGCAGTCAACCGCATTGACTTCTAACCCTTAAAACCTTCAAATCAAATCAGTCTTTCAGACTCTCCTTGAAAACCTCACTGTTCCCTCTCCTCTCTTTCCTCATCCTCCTCCAGATAAGCCAGCGTGCTCCCACCACAGATTTGAGTTTAGCCCATGTGGCTGAGAAAAATTGACCAGCTCTTCTTTCGGGATGGGTTCAGTTTCTCCTTTTTAATTATTTTCTATGGAATTTAACAGAAAGATTGTCTCAGATTAACTCTGTTTCCTGGTGCAAAAACAGAACCTGATGTTCTGTTCCATAAGCAGATTTTTCTTTTGTTGTCAGTATTTGTTTATGGAACATTGTAATGCAAACCTTGAAATTTTAATCCCCTCCATCTGAAAAGTCTGTAATACAAATGCTACTTCCCACCCTTTACTACACTTCACTTCCTGCAACAATCAATCCAAATCTGGAATTTGGAGTCCCCATATTTTCAACTAAGTATTTGCTGCTAATTTTAATATAAAGATAAATGCTCCTTATGCATATAAATCCTTGGACTCTTTATTTCTTTAAAAGCACAAGATATTTGGCATATTCGATTTAATGTGAGCAATTTTTTATCATTTTAAATGAGTTATCATGAAAGTCTCAACACTACATCTATGTCTGTCTCATTTGCAAGTGACTGGAAATTCAGTTATTCCTAATTTCTCCTTCAGTAACTAAGACCTGTTCTGTAACAAGCTTATATAGTTTAAGAGAAGGGATTTCAGAGATAAAGGCAGGCAAAGAAAATATTATTTTGAATCTTCAGATCAGGTAACTAGGACTTGTAAACTTTTAATAAAAATTATATTTCTCACTTGCAGAGTCTGTTTTCCCTTAACCTTTGCATCGCAAAGCCTTTAGCATCGGTATAGACTGAAGGTAGAGTAGTCACTGTTCTGATCTGGTAGTATTTAGACACACATCAACACATACAAGTTATACTTTTGAATGGTAACAATAATGTTATCTATCACTAAACAATAACTTTCCATTCATGTCCAAACACTTTATAAATATTTTCTTTGAATTAAAATTCATCACAATGTAAGATAGAGGAAAGGATTTTGTCTTTTTACTGTTTATTATGGAATATAAAGTTCTGAATTCATTTTAGAGACAACTTTTTTCCTGAATTTTTTTTACAACAGCTTTTTAAGCTACCCCGAGAAGTAGCAGTGTTCACTTTCAATCAGTCAACACTTCACATTGCTTGTAACTCCCACAATTATGTTTTCTTTAGAAGAGAAAGGAGTCCAGTTAACCATCCTATGGAAAATCTCCAAAGCCCTCTGGTCATATTGAGACCATCAGTTAAAACAAATAGCAAACCATGCAGACATCTGAAACTGTCCCTACCTCTTAGCAGCGGGGAAGTAACGTGAGCAAGATGAACCATCCCAGGCACAATAAGGGTCTCTCGCAAGGCAACACTCAGCACATGCCTTTCCATACACATCACAGCGGTGTAAAGGAAGCTGTGAAACTCCAGTGGCTGAGCCAATGTAGAGCTGTTGCTGTTATAAAAGTTAAAAAAAAACAAAAAAGACAAATTATCAGTTTTTTGCTAGGAAAGCATAAAAAAAAGTTATATAATAATAAGTTAAGACCATTACAAACACAATAAAGGATCATGATCCTGATGTACACTAAAGGAATGAAAAGAGAATTGTCCTCAGGAAAAAAAGTCAAACAGGGAAAACTCTGATATTTGTGTGAAGTGGCTTCTCTAAACAATAAGAAAAATCAAAGTACTCTTCCATTTTTTCTTTTCTATTCAGATCCCTGCACTGGGAAAGCACTACTACCAGTGACAGAACACAAAGGAGAATACACATTTGATTTCAAAGAAAAAGAAAAACAATTTAAACATAAATTTCCTATGTATGACCTCGATTTGTGTATGTGTGTGGGAAAACACAAAGTAAATTATTTCAGACCGACCGATGCTAAGATATTTCAGCCTGGAAGTGGTGCCATGCACGCATTTCTTGGCATGTCTGACAATTCTGATTCTTCATACTCTTTTCTATAGGTGACATACTCATATCCTTAATGAGTGGAAACGGTTTACTTCATTTCAGATATAAAACAATGTGGAGTGGAAGATGTAGTTCAAATGCAGAGAGAAGCCATGAAGTAAAGAAAAAAAGATGCAAACAAAATGAACTACAGCTTTGTATGGCATCACAACAGAATATCTTGTCTTTCTCAGTTTCCTCTCTGATATCAAATTCAGGTGGTCCATTAGGGAAGCTGGTCCCCAGAGGGACATAAGGAAACCGAACTACTGATCCCGAGTTAAAGTCCAGAGGTATTTCAGCTTAGCACTAACTCACAGAGAAAACAAGTATGAATGTATTAAGTAAAGACAGTTCCTTATGAGCTGCAAAAGCAGGGGAAAACAAAATAAAGAGAAAACCAAAAACTGAGTGGCATAATTCTTCTGTTTTGGAAACTTTGACAGTTTGCTATCAAAAGCTTAAACTTTGTCACCCAGCACCCATGGTAGACCAATTAACACATTTCTTTGTAAGGTCTTACTCCAAGCAGTTCCACCAAGAAAATACAAATTTGTATTAATTTTTCTTTCTTAAAAGACATAAGGCTGGTGTGAAAAATAGGATTTCAATAAATGTTATCAAAATTCTTCATCTCCTCCATTGTGATGTCCCAGAGATACCATTTCCAGGGAATTTGGGGATGGAACAGGGCTAAAGTCACCTACCTACTAGAAAAGATGAGCACTGGATACCAGGAGACAACAAAACCAAAAACACTCGTAAAAGGTGTTGCCTTAACTTCTTTCAGAGACAGCAGCTCGGCAGCTTATACAGACTTATTAATTGTAACAGAAACATCCCGTGCATTTATATACACACCAGTATTTTGTCAAGGAAAACATGACAAGGAAAACACCCAACGGAAAATTCACGGGCATATTGAAAACCAAGTCCTTCCTAAGTGTCTCTTTCCGTCTACTATAGTGCCATAGCTGGGTTGTAAACCCACATTATCTGGGCAAAAATCTCTGACCACACAGAGCTCTGCACAAAAGCTTAGCTGTACTTACACATGATAAGCTGATTCTCTCGAGTACCCAGCTTAGGGGTACATTCTGCAGTAAAAAGAGCAGCAGTTCAAATCTTCGGTGACCTAACCATTTCTCAAGGGATGTCTTTTCTCTTTACTGGTTATGGAGGCAGCATAGGTCAAATAAGAGCTCCGGTTAAGTATCTTAAACGTCCAGATGGTATTGATCTGAGTCCTATGTAATTGGGGCATTAATATCTATATAAGCATGTAGCAAAGTGTGGTGCAACTAATATAAAATCAACCCAGAGAATGCACATAGGAAAATAAAGAATGGTGTAATGGTTTCCTATGTAGCCCTGTAACCAATTTCATTTTGTCAAAAACCCCTCCTTAATTTCTAAAAAACTTCAAAATTAAAGAATGACCAAAAACACATAGGAAAAAATAAAGTGAGGCCAAAATAGGGTAACTTAATGACTCTTCCTTGCAGATAAGTTCATAAAGTTCAGTCACTGAACTACGGCATGTGTTTCAGGTGCTGCAGAGCCTGAAGACTGCTGCCCTGTTTGCTGCTCTTCTGATCATGGTTTTAGTCTCCAGCTGGTGACCATTAGTCTGGACACTAATAATATATAAATCCAGGCAACATGAAGTTCAGAAAACAGTAATAGAATGATTTGCATCACAAATCTGACCTTTCTTTGCCATATGCAGTCAAACGGCCTTTTGGGCAAAGAGTGTCTCCCAGGAGGTTGTTAAATTTAATAAATCAGCTGACTATCAGATCAAACCAGAGGGGAGAAAAAAAAAAAAGTTGTCTTCTAAAAATTCTTGCAGACA